ATTATATTCAGAGTTGTGATCAGGCGATGGAACTTGCACGAAGCAAAACACACAGAAATTCAATTCTGTAAAACGGGGGATGAAACTAGCCACGCGATTGGTTAAATTACGAAACATTTGCCGCGAACCGTCGCAGAAATCAAATTTGTTGCTTCTGATTGGCGTTTGCCTACGTCATCAGTGCTTCATGCAGTAGCTTTCGCAATTTTGCGACAGGCATGAGACAGACTCGGTGCATTATAAGTTCTTAAAATTTCGTAGTGGTAGGACGTGTTTCTCGCGTCTGTTAAATTCAACTTACCGAGCTAATTTTTTCGCAGAATTAGTTTTAATTTTTTCTACGTCTGAAAGGTTAGATTGATTGATTCATACTGTATTATTATTTTTCCCAATTGCCCACAGCATAATTTAAATTGACAAATTTGTTAAAGGTTGTGTCCTGAAATAGACGCCAGGTCGCCATTTTACTATGGATATACCGAAAGTCCGCCATATTTTGATTATTTTCCGCAGATGCAAGACCGCCAGAGAGCAAGGCGCGCTTAATGGACTATCCTGTGAGACAATGTGCTGAAGGAGGAATTTATCACAATGAACTGGTATGTATCAAAACTGTATCAATTAAAATTAGTAAACGAGGTCCCAGAAACTTGACTTCTTAGACATTTGTAACTTGCTTCAATAGACAACTTTTCAGAAATAGAGAAAGCAGAATTGTTGTGGAACTGACCTTTCTATCAATGTGAAAGTTAACTTGTAACTTTACCATTGTATCGCCAGATGAAAATATTACTGATTTACTTTCTTTAAAAGTGGTGATTAATTACTTTTTTTTGCCCGTTTCTATAGATAATCCAACAAAGTTGAAGGAATTAGAGATAATTTTGATGCTACTGGAAGAATCGATAAATTTAACGTCTTCACCTTGCAACATTATGCAGTTAATTTTTGCTGTAACAATGAGGAGGCAATCGGAAGTTAATTTGGAAGCAACTGAAACAACAGTCTGAAGTTGTATTTTGGTTTGCTCATCACGCTGGTAGACTTTAAAACGTTACTTTCTACAATTAATTAAGGTGAGAATACATGATTTCATTAATATTAATTGCTCTCTATTAATCTGTTTTTCTGTTAACAATTATCCATTGTCAACAGGATAAATTGAGGTTATTGTACATCTATATTTCTTGATAGTTTTTAGTTTCCACAGAATAAATTGACATTTATCATAGATATATCCATAGAGTGTCTTTCTAACCTTTTTCTATTGTCTGCATCATAAACTGACGTGTTATTTGACGTTTATCTATGTCGTGATCTATGGTTGTGATGTAAAATGGCGTAAAAGTAGCTGTTGTCATTTTATAATTCAGCTATTTTACTTGCTTTTTGGTGCGTTTTTAGTTGTTTTAAATGTGTTTCTTAATTAATAGTGTAATTAATATGACTTTTTGTCCGTTTCTGCAGATTATCCAACAAATGAGAGAGGATTAAACATCAATTTGGTCATACTGAAACAGTGGATGTCTGCATGGGTGTTGCTTTTCGTGGACTGTATTCTTCATTGGCTGTTTTCGTCTTCGTCTTACAACATTATGCAGTTAATTTTCAACCCATGACTGAGAGCAACTGGATATTTATTTGAATTCCACTGAAAAAACAAATTTTCTGCTGTGGTATTCCTCCTGGAGTTGGTTTGCTTTTCACATCTGCAAACTTTGGAACATTACGGTCTACAGTTAATTAAGGTAAGAATACTGATATAATTAATTTTAATTGCTCTTTATTAATCTGTTACCACCGTATCTGTTTCAGATCGACGTTGGAGAAGACAAAGATGACCCCGTAGTTAAAATAGTTCTTTACCTTGCATGTTCTATCTAGTAGAATTCATGAAGTTCATTTTATTCAAATTAATTTTTTATTTTGCATGCTTATTTTTGTTCATTTTATTTGAAGTGATTGTTGATTGTAGATGTTTTTATTTTTTTTAGTATGTAGTAGTAGTGTTCATTTTATTTGAAGTAATTGTTGATTGTAGATGTTTTTATTTTTGTATGTAGTAGTAGTAAAACTAACACGTTTAGTAGTTGTAGTATAGTCTAACATGCTTACCTCTTCGCTTAGCTTACTGCATATTCTTCCTAATTTGCTTTGCATTTACCCTACGAATTCTACATGATTCAACGTTTCGTTATCGTGTGTGTTCCTTCTCACCCTTGTGGAATTAGGGAGGGCCTCCCCGAACGACTTCCCTTGGGCTTAGCTATTTAGTTGATCTTAAAAGTGTCTTATACACTTTTCGCGAGTCTACTCTAGCGTTACTTCCTTTCAGACAGGGTACAGTGGGTTATCTGGAATAGGAGCAATAGGCGACTGCCCAGCNACTTCAGACTGTTGTTTCAGTTGCTTCCAAATTAACTTCCGATTGCCTCCTCATTGTTACAGCAAAAATTAACTGCATAATGTTGCAAGGTGAAGACGTTAAATTTATCGATTCTTCCAGTAGCATCAAAATTATCTCTAATTCCTTCAACTTTGTTGGATTATCTATAGAAACGGGCAAAAAAAAGTAATTAATCACCACTTTTAAAGAAAGTAAATCAGTAATATTTTCATCTGGCGATACAATGGTAAAGTTACAAGTTAACTTTCACATTGATAGAAAGGTCAGTTCCACAACAATTCTGCTTTCTCTATTTCTGAAAAGTTGTCTATTGAAGCAAGTTACAAATGTCTAAGAAGTCAAGTTTCTGGGACCTCGTTTACTAATTTTAATTGATACAGTTTTGATACATACCAGTTCATTGTGATAAATTCCTCCTTCAGCACATTGTCTCACAGGATAGTCCATTAAGCGCGCCTTGCTCTCTGGCGGTCTTGCATCTGCGGAAAATAATCAAAATATGGCGGACTTTCGGTATATCCATAGTAAAATGGCGACCTGGCGTCTATTTCAGGACACAACCTTTAACAAATTTGTCAATTTAAATTATGCTGTGGGCAATTGGGAAAAATAATAATACAGTATGAATCAATCAATCTAACCTTTCAGACGTAGAAAAAATTAAAACTAATTCTGCGAAAAAATTAGCTCGGTAAGTTGAATTTAACAGACGCGAGAAACACGTCCTACCACTACGAAATTTTAAGAACTTATAATGCACCGAGTCTGTCTCATGCCTGTCGCAAAATTGCGAAAGCTACTGCATGAAGCACTGATGACGTAGGCAAACGCCAATCAGAAGCAACAAATTTGATTTCTGCGACGGTTCGCGGCAAATGTTTCGTAATTTAACCAATCGCGTGGCTAGTTTCATCCCCCGTTTTACAGAATTGAATTTCTGTGTGTTTTGCTTCGTGCAAGTTCCATCGCCTGATCACAACTCTGAATATAATAATAATAATAAATACAAGAGCGAGAGAGACGGTGGAAACTTAAGAAAGAGAACGTTAGAGAAGAAGATAATGATTCATAACATAATAATTATATATGACCATGGGCGCAACAACGTTACAATTTCACTGGGTGCTCAATAAATGACTAAAAAAAATCATCAATGCATTGTACTGAAAAAATCGAATTCGGCTGCTCTCATCATAATACTATAAATGACTAAATGACGAGCTTGAAGTATTTGAACCAATTTCAAATTGGGTCATTACCTGAATCGACTGGAATTGACTGGGTGCCCAACCCAATCGAGTGGGTGCCCGGACATCCGCGAACCCACCCTTGTTGCACCCCTGTATATGACGATATAACGAGCAAAATTTTACGCGTCTAAGTTTTAAAATTGGTTAATGAAACCGAGATTATAAACCATTTCCTACGATTTCGAAAAAACACATGTTCTTTCAAAACACAGGTCATCTTACATCACACACATCAGTTCGTCATAACACGACACATACAATACAAATTTATTTTAAATGAAAAGCTTTTATATTGTAAAGAGTGAGATTCTGCACATCTATAATTGAATAGTTGCTAGGGCGAAATTTTATGTGTCCAAATTCGAAAATTAGTTTGAAAATGTGCCTAAATTATGAATTATTTGTTACCATTTTATTACAACAATGTCATCTTACGACGTCCTTCTGCACTTATAATAATACATTTGAATATTGCTTAAAAAGGACACGAAATTATAAATCATTTCCTTGGATTTCATAAAAATACACTGACGGGCTTATATCAGACACAAAAAAATCATGAGTTAAAACGGTACCATTGTGAACATTAGTTGCTTTAGTACCATCAAAATTATTTATTTACCAATCTGTAGAATGGACAAGAAAAACAAATTAATAACCTACACTGGCATATGCTACACTGCAAATAAATCTCATTTTAAAGTCAAAATATACGCATAATTTCTGATATAGTTTATATTAAGATTACAATGAATGTTTTATCATTGTAAGCTGGAAAGAACGTAATTAATGCTGCCATTCTGCTTTCGACATTTCGGAAATGATACATGAAACATAATTATTGATAGTAAGTTATCATAAATGCCTAAACGGTTGAGATTTTTGGGATAATTTAACGAGATTTTTACAACTATTACTTTAAATTATGGTGTTTTCACTTACTAGTTTACTGCGATAAGTCCTTCGTTGAGTAACAGCAACTGTCCCTATTTCCAGGTGATAAAATGGCACTTCTATGTTTTCCTTAACGTGTCGATACATCCTGGAGTGAAAAAGTATTGATATGGGGAGTGCTCAGTAACACATGTCATCTCCAGAGTTTTTTCATAATTTTCCTGTAAAATAAAATATTCAGAGTATTCAAATATATGTATGTAAATAATTTAGCTTTCCTTGTAAAAAAATATGTGCAATAACACATAATAATTGTATATGACGAAATAAAGAGTGAAATTTTACACGTTTTAGTTTTAAAATTGGTTAAGAAAACCGAGATTATAAACCATTTCCTACGATTTCGAAAAAACACATGTTCGTCCAAAACACAGGTCATCTTACAACATCTATACATTACTTTAATTTTTATACATTTTATGTATTAGTAGGGCTTAGTTGATTAATAAATACACAAAATAACGTATTTACTATGGTTACAATTTAATCATTTTTAGCAAATTAATATGTTTTATTTCTGTGGTTCAATATATACGTAATAAAATCAGAAGATTTCCTACATAGTAGTGAAATAAAATTTCCTTATTTGATTTAGGAATATAAAACTACATATCATGATAAAAGTATTATTAAATTCTAGCGAATTGCATACTTTGACAACGCAAATACACGATTAAATAAAAAGAACACGGTCAACAAAATAAAAATAGTGTAAACTATTATAATAACATAGGTACATAATTTCAAGATAATGTTGTATAATAAAATTCGACCAAACGAACAAGAAATTGAATTTTTTAAACATTAAACTAATGAAATTAAGAAAATAGGTAGGCAATTGCAGTGTAACGTACCTTATTGCTATTTAAAAAAAATGCACATTATCAAAGTTTTTCTGGTATATTAATAAATAATTTCTGTGGTTTAATTCTCTCTGTCGAAATTATTAATGTTGATTTTAATTATTCAAAATTTGAAGCCTTCATAAAATTATTAGGTAAATCCTGCGATTTGTAGTTACTTTTTACCAAAAGATGACCTAATACGTACTTTGTATACGTATACATAATGCAGTGTCAATTAATTTCATTTAGGTGTTTAAAGAAATTAAAAAGACGATATAGATGATGTAAACTATAGATGTATAATACCACAAAAAAACAATGCAATATTCGTCTTATACAGGAACATAATAAGTTTTAGTTATAAAACCGTTGTGAAAAAATTGACGAGCATCATTCGTTGGTATAAGGGTAGAAAATTTTCATTTTCATTTGAGATAATTCAAAATCACAACTGTTTTTTCATTCTTGTGCCAACGAATGATGCTCGTCAATTTTTTACTACGGTTTTATAACTAAAACTACATTTCTCTTCCTTCGTATGCAATTTAAAAACACGGATATTTTCAAAAATACAATGCTTTTTGAAAACGTACAAATAAATTTTAGACTTCAGATGTCTACGAAGTAACTTACAAATTCCTCAATCTTTGGACAGAAGATTAAAAATTCATTGAATTGTTGCTATATGCTACGAAAAAAAAGAGTACATTACTTTTCTTCTTAATCAATTGCTATTTGTGATTAAGAAGCATCTATCTCCGTTACTATTATTACTCTATTCTACTTATACGCTCATCACAATTTTTTCACATAAAACTAACACATTTGTCCGCATTTTTAACTGTAGGCATTAATTCTCTATCAGAAATAGTATAAAATGTATTGGATGCACAGTAAAAATGCTCACGTTGAAGAAATATACAAAATAAAATAAAAAAAAAATCACACATTAACAATATTCAGAGTTGTGATC